CCCAGCGAGGAACGTTTAACGGAGCTAAGGAGAATAATTTGTTTTGTCAAAGGATGTTCTAAAGTAATTGAACCCGTCTGTGTGGACTTTAATGAAAAGGAGACAATTACTTAAAGTTCTGGATAAAACTATGGTAACTTACGGGGTAACGTAAGTGGATTTATTGCAGATTGTATAGTAAGAAACAAAGTAAAGAAAAATAATTCGTCTTGTCAGTTAATTTCTAAAATAATTGAATCAGCCTCTGTGGACTTTTCACAAGAAAAGAGAAATATCTAGAGTTTTAGATACAACTGTGACATCCTATCGTCTAAAGAATTTTTGTACATACGTTTGACTTGTTTTGAATATATGTTATTTTAAAACAAGTGGATTGTGTGCTGTGCGTTTATTGTTCGAATTTATCGCCAACAAGTCACAGACACCTAGTGTAAAACAAATGGAAGACTGAGAACCCATTATGTAGATTTGCGTTTAACAACTATCAATCAAACAAATAACTAGTGGTAATTAAATTCAAATTTAGCTGGTTAATTTTCCTAGTTTAGAATGTACCTATGTAAAACTCACCTGAAGAGAATCGAACTGAAATAGGTTTAACAATATCTGATAATATATATATTCTTAGGCTCATGTAACGCTGCACGTGGTCAACGGGTGTTCACGATGTATATTCTCATTCATGCTGCATGAATATAAGGCACTTTATATAAAACAAAGCACAATTCTAAGTTAAGTTGGCATTCAAGATTATTTATCTAAGATAAGCATTGTATATTTAATGTGTGCATGTGTACATTTGTAGTCTCGTGTCTCACACATGGTTTAGTAAACATACACGAGTATAAGTGATACATAAAAATTAAGGCTGTTTGAAAACGTATGTAAGCTTAGGCTCAATCTGAAAATAACTATACTGACAAGAATGTTGAAGCCATGTTAATATTTGCTTGGATAGTGGAAACAATGATAAGTTTCGGTTCAGATTTAAAAAAAGAATCTGAAAACAGAAAGGAACTATTGTAAACACTGTAAGGAAAAAAGTAATTATGTGGTCAGCATTTCGACGAATCGAAAAACAAAAGAACAAAACGTTAATCACAGCTATAATTTATTATTCGCTTAGAGCGTTTTCTAACCCTTTTATATATTTTCATTTCTATTATTGTATTTTCTACTCATTTCAAGTCAGGTGTTGGGTACTGTCTCATTTGCCAGACTCTTCATTTTGGTTGTATTAAGAAATGCACAGATACGACGTCAATCGCAACTTCGAGTTACGTCTTGCATGTTTAGGCTACTTACTGCTACTCATCTTAGTAAACACCACTTTACTGATCATTAATTCTTCTGGATTTATACTGAGATATTATGAATACCATGTTCTTTCGTTGGAGATCCAGTTCTTTGAAAAGTATTCTTCTCTCATATGTTTTGCGAATCATCAAAGTCTGATTCTTGAACGTAGAGACATTCAATAACACAAAGTCTGATTCTAGAACGTAGAGACATTCAATAACACAAAGTCTGATTCTAGAACGTAGAGACATTCAATAACACAAAGTCTGATTCTAGAACGTAGAGACATTCAATAACACAAAGTCTGATTCTAGAACGTAGAGACATTCAATAACACAAAGTCTGATTCTAGAATGAAGAGACATTCAATAACACAGGCCTGCGATGGTTTTATTGTCTTGGAATTTCTACATATTCTAAAGTAATTCCTGTACGCTGAATCCGAAAATGATATCCATTTTTCTCCGTCACGTACAGAATTTTCACAAAACGTCATATGTACTTTTATATAAGTGAATCATTTTCATTGAAATCGGGTCATATTTTGTTATGCTTAAAATGTTGACAACCACTGACTATAGATTTATCTAGACTAATCGCGACGTGAAAGTCTTATCGATCTTTCTGGAACCCACAAGAAACACACCGCTAGTATACAAACGGTTAACAGGCCGCATGTCGTGTCATTTCTGGATAGTATTTGTTTGTGCGTGCACTTTGACATTATTTTTTTCTTTTCAATAGTATTTATTCGTCGCTATGGCAACAAGAGGTTGTGTAAACGACCCAAACATATTCTGTTATATTTGTGGCAAATTTGTTGTAAATTTGATCTAAGTAAGAGGTTTTTTTTGCATTTCCGATTTGTAAAAAACCCTTACTTGATAGAAAAAAATGAATATTATTTTTCGAAATCTGTGTAGCTGAATTATGGAAAATCCGTTATTAAAACCAAACAACTTTTATGCAGTTAAAATTCGCAAGACTATGTAATTATTTGTTTGTGTGAAATAGATTATATTTCAGACATTATCTCACAGACATTAGCTCTTGGTGAATATACTTCTTAGGCTATGGACAGTACGAATGATGAATCCTAAAGAATTCTATTTCATGTTAATTAAAAATGGACTTTTTATCAAATAACAAAACTTGAAGCGATATACGCTAATGTAATATTTCTATGGTTTCATGTGTTTTCGCACGTGAATAAGTAAAATTGTTCACTTCGTCATTTCATTGTTCCAGCTGGTGTGAATTCTGCTGGACAAGCTCGTCTAGTTCGTTCTTAATTCTAGACACATCCAAGGTCAACCTACAGAGTTCGGTGTAAAATATTTTGGAGAAAAGACAGCAATATCACTTCATATGTCTGTCTATTTAACTATACCAACTATTATTAGTTGGAACAATACACAGTGAAACGTTTTTCATGATATTTCCTTAGATAAAAGATGATTAATGAATAAGTCTATCATATTGTAGCTTACATTTAAAATTATCAAAATTCCAGTAAATTTCTATACTTTTATTTTTTTAACTCCACTCTTAACCTTCAGTAATCTGTCAGATCTTTCTAGGTCAAAACCACGTTGCATAATTTTGTTTCTTAATGGATTCATCTGAAATTCAATAATCCGATAGATAGCCTTTTCGGGGTTGCTGTTCCCATATTGTAATGAGTTTGTTTGTCGTTAAGCCCAAAGCTACACAATAAGCTATCTCTTCTGTGCTCATCATGGGTATAAAAACCTGGGTTTTGGCGTTATAAACCTTCAGACTCTAATGGGAAGACAAAGCATTCATCGACTTTTAGCTGACTTCCGACTGAAGCAACTAGAAAGGATGATTTTGCTAACGTTCTATTTCACGTGGTTAAAACTCTAGCTCTCGAGGGGATGGAGAAGGTCGGGTTTCCCACATCTGTTGTAGCCCATATTTATCCTTTTGTGCGTAAACTTGACCTACTTGTAAAAGTAACTCTTATCTCTCGTGAAAGAGCTGACAAAAGCTGCCTACAGAATTCAACAAGTACACTTTTTTATCTGTTTTCTTTGTGAACTTCGGCTTCTTGGCGTTTATTTACTTACCTCGTTCGCCAACTGTGTTCCGCTAATTCCACTGTTGCGGTAGCCTTTTGTTCATCTGCCAGCTAAACCCCTCAGTTCTCTTGTACGTTCACTCGTTAAACTGTATACTACACTACTGTGAGTATGAAAAGGATTTTTCGCTTTTTACCTCGTTCTAATGAAGGCGATGTGAAAAGGAATAATATCTTCATTTGTTATGTTCCTACACTGTTTCACCTCATTCTAATAAAGGTGATTTGGAGAGGAATAATATCTTAATATGTTATGTTCCTACACTGTTTCATTTCATACTAATGAAGGTGATTTGGAGAGGAATAATATCTTAATTTGTTATGTCACTACAATGTTTTACCACATAACGTCAGAAAAAAGAACATTTTTTTTTACTTTATAAGAAAACAGGACTGTATGTACTTTTGCACTCTGTGTTTAAATGAAAAAGGTACGTCTATCTGCTGTACATACAAACCATTTGGTATGCAATGCTGATCAGAAAATGAATGTCGCATAATAAAGTAAATAAGAGTTATGCATATTTATGATATGTTACAAACACTGATTATTATAATGTGTACTAATCGGTCCATTTACTTGAGATAAATATACACGGATTTAGAAACTACCTAATGGTCAGTAAATAATCCTTACATTTTCTAATACTACTCTTTATGTCTGAAAAAAACACACCAAAACTCAACACTTAGGAATATTGAATCTCTTACCAATAATAAACATAATTATTAAATAGGTACTTATGGACAGGTTGTAGCCTATGTGATCACCTAGGTCTAATTACTAATTATAATAATTACTAATAGCAATAGAATCGTTAAACGCAACACACTTCTTTATTTATTCATAAGATAACCTGTTTAATCATCTTAAATATTAAGATTTGGGTTTTTGGTTAGAAGGAGAGTAACCGCGATTTGCAAAGAGCATGAATAGAAAATAATAAAAATAAAGTATTAAGAAAAGATATAGACTCTTGTCACTTCAATACTATCTTTGGAATACATATTTATTACAGAGAAGTATACAGAAATAGCACATCACTTCTATCCCAGATATATATATATATATGTACTTATAGTGTATTTATATTTAAACATGAGATTCTCATATCAAAACCTTCACTAGCTATTACATGATACAGTAACTAGTATTCAGCTTTTCTTAGACTTCTCATCAGAAACTTTAGCTCACCGCTTCTTTTCATTTTTTTGTTTGTTTTAGCGCACAAGGTCGTACTAAAAATAGCTATTATTTTTTGTGATAATACTAATAAGGTTAAAGATAGATATACGCGTAGGAGGTTACTATAGATATATATAACCGTAAGCACTGACTTTAAAGTCAAGGGCTGTTAATTAGAAAGTTTCTGCTCACGAAAGATTCATTTGTTGGATAGGATAATCGGGAGTTTTTATGACTAGAAGGATTTAAGTATATATATAGTGCTAAAAGAATAAAGAACGAACCTAACTGAAGTTGCCTCAAAATTTAGAATTTTTCTATTGTCTTCTGTGTCGTAGACTTATTGTTAGTTTTCTAGATTATTACATTTGTAATGAAACGAAGACAATTAGACTGAGTTTGCTTTTCTTTCAGGGACGTTGGTGAGAAGGGGAAGAATTCCGATTCGACCAAAGGCACGGGAGCAGAAAGTTCCGAAAAAGACGACCACCAAACGGGAACAGACCATCGGCAGAACTCCGACTCCGAGCCAGCTAGTAGTTCCGATGGCATCTTCCCCACAGAGCTCAAATCAGCAAGCATGAATGTTGCGGCTCCTAGTCCGATATTACACCATCACCCCGTCGCCACAATCTCGCCAGCTTCGTCGGTTGGAATCCCTCAAACCGTCGCCCTAGGTGGCGCTTTCCGTCTAAACCACCCGCCGGAGTTTTCGACAACGATGCACGGAACGCTGTTACACCCGCAGCTTGGAGATTTCGGGTTAGGCTTACCAACGGATTATCATGCTTTATGACGGTCAGTGGCGGGGACTGTCCGATTGTAAAGCCAAGGTGTCCGGCCAGGACCCGCCGCCACCCAGTACTGTAAGCTCCTCTGTGCTTTTTCATTCCCTCATTAGAATCCGCAGTGTGGGCTGATGCTTTGTACTTTTCGATTATTTATGAAATAGACAACGTGTCGCTAGCAGCCGCCATGTTTGTACATGTAATGTAAAGTTCTGATATACTTGTGGTAACGCTTTTTACATATACTTGTAAGAAAACAAAGTCATTTCACAACACGTTTCTGAAGATATCGACAGTGAATAAATAATGGGATTTATGCCTTCACACATCTTACATATGCACATGTTCGGTATTTAGAAGTTTTAAAAAGTATATCGATCACCGTAATAGCTAATCTGCTTAAATTAAACTATGAACTTATACGTCTAAATAAGTTTCTTAAAAGTAAATGGGTAGAAAAAACTTACCTGTACAACATTACATAATTTACATACTGATTTCTTCCTGATTTTAGTAGACTAATTAGCAGAAAAAAAATCATTCAGATTTCTGTTTCATTGTTAAAAAAAAAACAACGCGACAGCTGCATGTAAAAAAGAAAAGGCTTTAATACTATGGTTTACACAAAGTACCAGAATTTCTTTTTTCTCTGTATCATACCAAAGAGAGAGAAAAAAATTAAATGAAAATAAGGTAACTTTTATATTTTATGGAATATTTAGTAAAATTTGTTAATGTATAATGATTAGAAGAAAAAAGTCTCATATAATCATGATGACCAAAAATAAATAGTGTCTACTAAATACATTAACTAGCTCTAAACTTATTGTGAAGAAGAAATAATTAATCATAACAAGAAAAATTTGGTATTAAAACTTAAGTTAGTGTTCGGTTCTTTAAATTTTATATTTTTTTTGTTGAAATTGAAATTACTTAGCAGTTATCGTCAAACAAGAGGGAGTGTAGAGCAGGAAGTAAGAACTTTGTTGGTTTATACATTATTACCATCAATAATCAATCAAAAGAAAACAATAGAGTCACATTTAATGATTTTTTTGTTCTTTTTAACACTACGTGATATAGATGAACAATGTTGTACGTAATTATTCATGGAAACCTCCTGAGTAAAATCTGTGTCTGGAAACTAACTGAAATCGTCAGGACAACTTGGTATGTCTTTTGTTTTTTTCCTTAACTACAGGTTACTGAGACTAATAGTCTGGAAATATAATAAATTATCTCTCCTTGCGACTAATATATTAGTGCCCGATAAGGAGAGTATATTCTGATATTTTGTATAGTGTCAACAATTATGGTCTTCTCAACTCTGAACTTTATCTTCCTATCCCTATACCTCCTATTGTTAGGCCTTATTTAGCCATATACATATGTTTTTATAATGAACTATTTAAAATTCAGAAATAAAAACAGTCACAATGTAGCTTAAACCGAAATGACACAAACTAGATTTTATCTTCAGGCTACGTATACTTATTTTTTTATCTTTAGAATAATCACAAATACACATAAATTATACGTGTTATCCAGCTTTACTTTCAAGGTTGTTTCATTTCCCTTCTGTCGAAATTTACTTCAATATTTGTTATTTTTCGCAAACATTTAGAGAATGTTAAAAATACCAGATACTGTCATCATGGTTTTATGTAGTCTAAGCAGAAAATATTTTATACCTCCATAAATCTAATAATAAATTAATTTTTAATATGGCATGGTTCTGCTAATAATTTATCCAAAATATAAAAAAGGATAAAAAGATCAATAAAATATGTAAATGAAAACGGAACAATTATAAAATAAATAAATAAGTATGTTTTTTAGCATTATGTCTTCAGGAAATTTAGCTTATACCATGAATAATCCAGGATAAGCCTCTCGAATAGTTTCATAATTTTCACGTAATTTACAATCTATTTTTAAAAAATCTGTTTCTCATAATTATTTCTATATCAGGTATGATTTTACTTGGTTTTAGGATGAAAGTATTCCTATATCAGGTATGATTTTACTTGGCTTTAGGATGAAATTATTCCTATATCAGGTATGATTTTACTTGGCTTTAGGATGAAATTATTCCTATATCAGGTATGATTTTACTTGGTTTTAGGATGAAATTATTCCTATATCAGGTATGATTTTACTTGGCTTTAGGATGAAATTATTTTAATCGTAATAATGTAGCTTCCAATGTTGATCTTTTTTACACGAAACGAATATAATCTACTTTTTAATCGACGTTTTAGCTGTATAATAATATTATATAAGTATTAAAAATGTATTCTACATAATCGATTCTTTAAACTCCAGATTAATGTGTACATTTTTCTAACATCATTCCTCAGTTAAGTACAGCACATGTGAAAGTTCAGTTATTCCTTAATAGGTAAAGATTTTTAAGTATTGAATTAATGCTTCTTGCATTACTGATGATATTCAACCAAACCGTTTCTTCATTAAAGATAACGCTTTAGTCGTGTTTCGTCATGCAAACTCTGCCAAATATTTGTCTCTGTTTGTATGGGTGTGAATAGTGATGCTCATATATTACCTGGTGTGCATATTATATGTAATTCAGCACAAAGTGTTATGTAAATAAACTTAAAAATTTCTTGAAACTTACTCAGTTTAGATTTATTCATTGATTTGTCCTCTTGAATTTAATTTTCATTTAAGAAATTCTTCCATTTCTTTAACTTTTTTTTTAATAGAAAGCGTTAACTATTGCATTTGTATAATCTTGAAGCCTTAAACAATCAGTCAGGAAATACTTCAAAATCAGATTAAAACAATAAACTAAAATATTTTCATATACCATCTCTACCTGACACCACGTTAGGCTTAGCAAAAATATTGCTAGGCTTAACAACACATCTTTCACTCGTTTATGTTTCTTACTCGCAATTACTTTTAACAGTTTAACCGAAATTCGACAAATGTTAATTTCATCAGGCGAAATAAAAAGGACCTATTGATTTAAATGTGTAGAATGATATTTTGTGTAGTTATTTCAACCAAATGAAATAAAAGTCTTTACTGCGATCTTTAAACTCTCTAAAAGTAAAAGAAGCACAATAGATTATATAATAAAATGTTGTTCAGGTGAGTCTGACACTGTTTGTTAACACATACGCATATCGAACTTATTCTTTACCTAAAAATAATAGAGATGTGAAATTTATTCTGGTATCAATACACTCACTAGAAACAGACAAAAAAATAAATATATGTTTCACTGATTGAGAATAAATAAAACTCGTTTCAAAATGACAGAACTTTCCCAGATTAAGGTTACTTAAAGAACATTGAAATATTCCATAAAGGACCTGAAGATGGGCAATATTCTTTTGACTGATCATAAGATATTGGCTGGTATATAAATTAGAAAATAGAGAAAAACTTTAATTGATATTCTGCAAAGAAAACTTGAACATACACCGAACCCCTGTGATAAGTAGCTTCCACGAGCTCACGATAAACTTGAGAGCTTATAACGCTAAAGATCGAGGTTCGGTCCCTACGGTGGGCACAGCGCTGATAGGTCACTGTAAATCTTTGCGATTCAGATGAAACAAAGGTGTGTAAACTGTCTACAGTGAAAATCAGAAGAATCTGCCATTGTTCAATTAACAAATAGAAATTACTTTAAAAGGTGCAATTAGTAAAGGAATAGTGACAATCATTTGCAGCATGTCAAGATGACATCGATCAACAAATGTTTTAGGTCGGACAGAATGGTCGGATTGGGAGCCTGAGGTTTTTTTTATTCATGTCCAGTTTACGCAAAAGCGCCTTTGCACTGAGAGGCCTTGAATGCACTCTAAGAGTGATGGTCAAATCCTAGTATTCGTTCAGATAAGAGCAGCTGAAGAGTTGGCGATGGGTGCTCTTGACTAGCTGTTTCCTAGCTATTCTGTTAGCTGAAAATTAGGGACTGTTATATGCAAATAGTTCTTGTGTGGCTTTGCCCATAAAACTCCAAATAAACAAACCAAATGTTTCATGATAATTCTTTACCTACAACGGCAGAGAATGTTTCGCAGTAGCTGCTAAAATTCTTATTTGATTGCATTAGAATAGAAGTTAATTTAAATTAGCTTTTGATTTATGAAATTTTATACAGACGTCCTAAGTTCAAGAAAATAATTAAGAATTAGTGTTCGTGGTTGCTCTCATAGACACGAGCACGACTGTTAACTTGGGTGCCATCAAGACAATGTCAATTGTTCCAAATGGCGAATTCAAAAAGGAGAAATAAGAATTATACAGGAACAACAATTAATGCCATTAATATTCGAAAAGAAATGTGTATAAAAATCGTTAATAGCGTTAGATTCACTAAGAGTCTTGTAGTATGTTTCAACATATTTATTAAGCATCAAACAAAAAAGCCAAATTCATATTACGAGAAATTTTCCCGCAATACGATGAATATGAATATATTGTGGCCGATGAATGATCATGTTCATAGATAAGTATCTGACCGCTACTAGAAGATTTATCTATATAAAATGTCAGGCCCCATGACCTGTGTTGTTCGCTGTGCAATAAATGTGATTAAGGATACAAATTAATAGTCATACCTTATCGCGAATATGACCTTGATCTACCCTTTTATTACTTACTTTTTTATATGTTTGGTACCTTTCTTGGAATATGGCCTGTGAGGACAATATTTTTAGGTAAATTATCACTGCTATAAACACTTAAATTCATAATAAAATAATAGTATTTTACCGAGCTGGTATGTTAAAACCTACGGAACTATAGAAGAAATGCATTGCACCTAACCAGTATTATGTTGGATAGTGATGCCTGATTGCTCACAGCCCCATCACCATTTGTTTACGTTGTAACTTGATATGGTTAACTCACATGAAATAAAAATCCCATTTCTTCCTGAACACCCCTTGTACAAAAGAAATTCCAAAGTTAACATCTTCAGATACAGATCACGTGGACAATTCTGGAATTAGGTATAACAGACTGATTCACTTTCAACTACTGACTTCAAGTATGAAAAAATGTGAATGTGATAAAAAAGAGAGGATTGTAGGAAGAGCCAAAAATAGAGAACATTAAAAACTACGTTGGATTCCGTTGAATTCAGCAACACAGAAGGCTTTTGTCGCAGTATATGTATGTATTTATACTATTGTTTAACATTCCACAGTATAGCACAACCTAGAAAACTAGTTTCATATTCGCTTTTATTTCAATGCTATATTCACACTATTATTTAGCATTCCATATTATAGCACAATCTTGAGACTAGTTTCATATTCGCTTCTCTTTCTCAATGTTGTATTCACACTATTGTTTAACATTCCACAGTATAGCACAACCTAGAAAACTAGTTTCATATTCGCTTTTATTTCAATGCTGTATTCACACTATTATTTAGCATTCCGTATTATAGCACAATCTAGAAAACTAGTTTCATATTCGCTTTTATTTCAATGTTGTATTCACACTATTATTTAGCATTCCATATTATAGCACAATCTAGAGACTAGTTTCATATTCGCTTCTCTCTCTCAATGTTGTATTCACACTATTGTTTAGCATTCCATAGTATAGCACAATCTAGAAAACTAGTTTCATATTCGCTTTTCCATAATTATTAACAAAATGAGAAATTGGAAAAAAATCTGAGGTTCTGAATGTATTAACAATATTATTAACGATAAGATAGGGAAAGGGCTCAGCTAGGTCCTATTATACAGCAATGACTAAATGATACACAGAAAATTACGACGAATTAGCTCTGTTACAAAATACACACTTTTTAAAAATACATCTTAAGAGTATTTAATAAATGTTCACATTTAAGTCAATATCGTCACAGAATGTATCATGTAACTAGTTTTGTTGGATCTACCAACTGGAATTTCCACGTGAATTTGTATTTTTTAGAGAGTTCTTATTTTTTTTAAACGAACTTATACTTAATGCTGTTATACATATTTAAAAGCTAACGAACGAGTGAATTAGTTATTTGTTTTGTCGACGGTAATTATGTCACTCGGAAATATTTTAAATCAATTGCTGGCTTGTAGCAAAGGGAGTGTAGAAAGTTTCACAATTCTAATTAAAGGCGGTATGTCTGCGGACTTACAACGCTAGAATCCGGTTTTCGATACCCGTGGTGGGCAGAGCACAGATAGCCCATTGTGTAGCTTTGTGCTTAATTACAAACAAACAAACTAACTAATTAAAGTTAAAAATACCTTTATTTTATGGTAATTTTCTAAATAATACATGCAGTAAACCTATAACTTCACGTTTGAAATAATATGATATTTTTATAACAGTTCTGTTCGATTTTGTATATACTTAAAGTAATAAAAAATCTGCCCCACAGTTTACCGGATATATATTTTCTGACTATTGTTTCTTCTTTATTACTGATGATGTTGTATAGTTTGTTTGTTATTAGATTTCGAGCAAAGCTATACGAGAGATATTTGCGCTAGCCGTCCGTAACTTAGCAGTGTAAGACCAGAAGAAAGGCAGCTAGTTATCACCAACTGTTGGGCTACTCTTTTACCAAAGAATAATGGGATTGACCGTCACATTAAAACGCCCCCCACGGCTAAAAAGTGGGACGGAGATTCGAACCCGCGCCCCTCAGATTGCGAGTCGAGCGCCCTAATCACTACTAAATTTTCTATACAACTTTTACCCGTATTTATAAAATCTCCAATCTAGCCTCTTGTTAACGGGGAAGTACTTATCATCACGCAATGCAACTAAAAATCTTATTAATACTGTTTTAATAATACACTGACATTGCTCACGGACCTGTCTCATTATAAAGTATCGGGTCACATTGTTTCTTAACACAGCCGCAATTCCTTGCTCTCCATGGAGTGCACGTGATCCGTGCTGATGAGTACTGATAAACATTTCATGAAGTACCCTCTCTCCTAATCTGAGCATGGTTTGAACAAGTGATAGGAGGGTACTAAATAAGAGCCACTACAATGAACTGGTTTCTCAGTAACAAGTGATTGGTTCATAATGCCAATCGCAATTAAAACAATTTTCATTTTCAAATGCATAATTGAAACCGCTGCTTGCGTCTTTGTGTCGAAACATGCGTTAAGGGTTGAATTCAATTAATGAAAAAAAAATGTTTACGTAAAACAAAAACATTGCATTGTCTTATAATTCTTGGACCATAAGGAGTTAATAAAAACACATTTGAAACTAAAACTGTCGTAATCATCCAGATATGAAATGCAAATGTTAAAAGATGCTTTACAAAGTCAGCCTGTATGTTATTAAAATTGTTTTTAAGTTGATATATTTGGTCTTTTTTTTTCATTCGTTTCATATTATACTTGTTCACATTTTATTAAAACTCAAAATTTAAATTCGTAATTCCTTAAAGAAATGTATTTTATTGAAGATTTTCCTCTTTTTTTTTGGTGATAAAAGCGAATTCTCTCTAAAGTTCTATACTTATTTTAAAAACAAAAAACAAACTAATCGTATATTAAAACAAAAAATGCAAATGTTTAGAAGTGGATTAATTACGTGGTTGAAACTGAAAAATTACTGTGACAGAATAAAAACAAAAATGTTTATGCGTAGACATGGCATGGCCAGATGGTTAGGGCGTTCAACTTGCAATCTGCTGGTTGCTGGTTCAAATCCCGTCACCAAACATGCTCGCCCATTCAGACGTGGGGGCGTTATAATGTGACGATTAATTACACTATTCCCTGGTAAAATAGTAGTCCAAAAGTTGGTGGTGAGTGGTGTTAACTAAGTGCAATCCCTCTAATCTATCACTGCTAATCTAGGGACGGCTAGTATAGACAGCCCTCGTGTAACTTTGCGCGAAATTAAAACCAAGCTTAACGTGCAACACCAAAAAACATAACCACAAATTTAATGTGATTACGAAAAAA